TGCATAAATAAGATGAAAGTGGCACTCTCCAATCACAAAGAGACGGAAGTCACATCGCTGGCAGACTTGTTCCACCGGGAAGTGCGCGGCCGTCTCTCCCACGCGGGTTTCTGATGCCCGGCCGAATCTTCCTATCTGAAGGCAACATCTTTGTATAGGTTAAAGACAAGAGGGGAGTTTAGGCATGGAGGTGAACTTACAAATAACGACTCTAAGAGAGAAAGGAGGAGTAGGAAAAGGACAGTAAAAAAAAAAAAAAAAAAGGGAACAGCTGTGTCTCATCAGCAAACGCCACTTCCTCCTGGGGCACCAGAGGGAAGCGGAGATTTCAGTTGCACTTGGGGCTTCTCTCAGGAGCTCTTCCGCAGAATGGGAAATGCAGCGCTTCCTGTCCGGGTTCCTTTGAGTTCGGAGCCCAGATCAGCAGGGTCCCGAACCACCATGTAAACGGGCTACGGCACTGCTCCCCAGCCCCTCATGGCCACACGCCTGGACACTGAGGTACAAAGACAGGACACGAGGGCAGACGGGCTCACGGCCAGGTGAAGTCGGCTTCTGCTCGGTTCTGGAGGAAGCTGTTTGCACTGCAGTTGGTCCGAACATCGAAGTGAAACGGATAATGACAAAGAAGAATATGGGGTGTGGGGGTGTGGAGTAGCCCCTGGAAGCCTGCCACGTGGCCGAGCATGCGAGGCTGCACGGGTAGGTTCACTGGGACAGTTTGTGCGTGCACGCCTCAGAGGCCCGCTTCCGCTCCCAGACACCTGAGGGACCCGAGGCCCTCACACAGCAACAGCTCCTGACCACATGCTCCACAGCGACCAGGCCCCTCTCGAGCACCTGCTAGTCCCTTCGTTCATGCACCGAGACAGGCACCCGACCGCTGCAGTGTCTGTACTTTTGCTCAAGACTCTTGCATTGGGAAGGGTTGCCTTGCGGCACGTCGAGCCTGGGGACTCTCCCCGTAGGACACCGTGTCCTTACGCCAGAACCAGGGCCCTCCTGCACATAGACAATGGTCCAGTGCCCAGGCTCGAGTGCTGCACGGCCCAACCTCCTGGGCCAACAGTAGCACACCACTCCCTCCTTAAACCCCAAATCTAGCTCATCCCGCCCACTGTTCCTACCTCTGCACCTCTTCAGCAGCCCCTCTTTAAAATCAATCTTTTAAGTGTGTGCTTAAATGGTATCAATAGCAATTAGAGAGGGGATTCTGATTCCACCCCAGATGCAGTTAATTGTTGCAGCATCGATCTCTTCTCTCTGTAACTTGCTTCTTCCTCCAAATTAAACCCCCATTACAGAGGGGATGAAGGGCATGCTCTCCTCTCCTGCGACAAAAAATTTAATATCGAATGCACTGGAAAAAAAATGGCAGTTGTTGCAGAATCCATCCAAAAAGATTTTTTTTTCTTCCTGGGAGTAATTAAAAGATGCTTTTCTTGACTAATGATTCCCCCGTTTAGGAATGGGAGTCAATACTGCTTCAGCCGCCGTCAGCTTCGATTGATCACAATGCTGCTCAAGTTTGAACGGCGGGTCTCACGGGGGCTGAGAAAGTTTGAACGGCGGTTCTCCGGGTGGCTGAGAACCACCACAGCCAATTATAAGCCGGCCAAAGCGCCCTAATCAGGGCGCGGGGGCACAGGCGGGAGGCAGCCAGCTGTTCAAAGGCGCCTGTTTTCCTAACTCGCGTGCAAGGTCTGGGGACAACGTGTGGCTGTTCAGGGCCGCTGCTTCTTTGGGAGGTGGACCTTGTGTGCTGTACTTGCCCATGGGCCTGCGTCTGCGTGTGTGCACACGTGCACATGCATGCGTGTGCGTGTGTGTGTTGGGGCGGCAGGGAGGGAGGGACGGCACATTTCTAATTATATTCCACTGTCAGAATGAATCTTCAGAACGAGATGGAATGGACTGGAGCTCCTCGGGAAAACAGCTGGGCCCTTTTTCAAGGAATCAGACTAAATATATTACACTTAGCTTCTCCTTGGCCAGAGATAAAAATGTATTAAAATATTTCCTTTTGGTATTACCTTAGGGCCACATTAAAAGAACTCTCCAGCTCTTTCTCCTGACAATCAGGTTCTGTAGGGAGACCAGAGGCGGGTGGTGGGGAGGTGGGGAGGCAGAACTCCGCACACCAATTTCCATACACAAATTCTGGCCCAGAGTGTCTGCTTCTCACTTCTGTGTGGGGAGGGTGCAGTGGTGCAGGTGGTGGCGTGTGGACGATTCTTCAGAGGAAGCTGAGTTGCTTTTGCTTCTGACAGTGTATGGCTTCTCGCATGCCCCCAGGACTGCGGCCTCTAACTCTCCATGTCTGCACACCCAAGGAGCCTGCAGGCCACCTTGGGGACATCAACATGCAGGACAGGGACAGACCGCACACCCTCTGCCCACCGACGGGCCACTCCCAGGATGCCACCCCTCGGTTTGCATTCACAGTTTTGGCCTCACCCACCCTGGCTCTTCAGGGGAGGGTCCGGCCCCAGGGCCCTAGGCAGGCTGAGCCTTCCTGTGACCTTCCTGTTCTGCCACTCCCAGCATCCAGCACACCTCCCCACCCCAACCTGGGCCCTGGCAGTGCCCCTAGATTTTAGAGTCCAGCTTAGATGCCATTTCTAGGAGCGGTAAGAATCCCTCCACTCGGAATTCTCTCGGTCCTGGCTTCTGCGGCTGGCCCTGACAACATCCCCAACCACGTGGAGTTGTAATCACCACTGATTGTTTTCTCTGAGAATGTGCTCAATGAATATTTGCGGAATTTAATTAAAAACAAAACTCCGAGGGAGAATTTCTCAAGGTATGTAGAAACATTCAGTTCTCATACATGTTTATCTTCTTAGAGGCAAACGGAATCCAGAAATTAAAGGTTACTTTTGGAAAGACCCCTTTACCCCATCACCATCACCTTGGAGAGGACTTACACCTCAGCTGCTCTTCAGCTGTGTGAATGTGAGCAAAGAGAAGATCGGGTTTTAATACAGTCACTCCGCTGTGAGAGGACTTTGAGAGACGTCTCTAAACTACCAGGATGGGGCCTGCATAGTACTGCACGGACGAGAAAGTAGGCCTCCGTGCTTACTCCAGATATACCGATGGAAGTGTGAAATATCTGTACGCACAGTCTTCATCTACGGACGAAGATGAGATTAAAACACTTATCAGTCAAATGATTAACCCACATTTTGGTTTCTAATCATTATAAATGGCTCCCCCCCATTTTTTGCTATAGGGCATGTGCATTTGCCAGAAAGAGAGAGAGAGAGAGAGAGAGAGAGAGAGAGAGAGATCACCCCTAGAAGGGACGGCCACGTTGCAATCCCTTCTCCATTCTCTTGCGCACACACGTACATGTACTCAGCATGATTTTCAGGCACTGGGTCCGGGACCTGAACTGCTCAGCAAGCCATGGGTGATCCAGCTGCCTTAACCTGAGTCACTTGCTGACCTGTAATGGCTTCTAATGGTAACAGACGAGACAACAAATGTTTCTAGTTCATACTAAAAACAGGACTTTTACACATAAATAGGAAGATGAGTAAAGTTTTCCAACTGACTTCGCTGTTTTCTGCATTCACGTATCAGACTTAATCTTTTAATCATTTAAAATTTGCAGACCCAAATATCCTCTGATGACACTACATAGCTATGAAAAATCAGATGCTAAGACATGGATTAGTGCTTTAAGAACTTTCATAGCGATTTCTGGCAGTGCTGGACCACTCGCGGTAAATACTTTTGAAAGCGTATCATTTGTTCGGTGGGTGGGAAAGGTACTCCTATCCGCAGGGCGCAGGTAACTCGTGTGAGGGCTCCGACGCGGGCCTGGGTGGCTTCGAACCAACGCGCTTTGTGTGCCTTCCTCGTTTCCCTGCCTCCGCCCCCACAACACCTCATACAAAGAGCAGGATTAATAATAATGTCATTAATAAATGCAATAATTAATGATGCACCAGCCTCATTCTCCAAAGTGAACCAAAGGTGGCACCACAAAGTAATTTTTCCACGTTAGTGAAATCTCATCCCCAAACTCTTTTCACATTACTTCCCAGTGGTACAAAGCAATCCTGCATCCTAACCATCGACCACCACCTGGACTTGGTTCCATGGTCACCAGCAGAACGCGTCATGGCAATCCGAGAACGCGTCACGGCAATCCGTCAGGGCAATGCTAATCGCCGCGCCCTCCCCTCCCGCCACCTCCTCACACACCTGAGAGGCGAGCACTGAAAGCCAGCCTCGGACCCCTGCCCTGGCTGTGAGCCGCTGAACACACGGCCTCTGAACTCAGGGCCACGCACCTTGGGCAACGGTGGGGGCGAATGGCCCGTTCTGCCTCCCCGAGACAGGCCTTCTCGGAAGACGTGCCATTTTATCACCTCTTCAGAACATTAAAAATGTATGTGTACTCAGAAACGGTTTATACTGGCTGTAAATGAAAAATGAGACCCTAAATGGCCTCAAAATAAATGCGTTTTTTACACTGGATAACAATTAGCATTAACGAGGAGTTGCCATACATTACGCCCGAGTTGGCTGACTGAATGTGTTAGAGAGATACTTTAGGGAAGGAAATATATTTTGTTGCCACAACGTCACTTGTTCAGGGTGGAAGACCATCAGAGCAGATGCTTACCAAGGATGTAAGAATAACAGAATTCTCAAAAAAAAGTCTCAAAAATTCATAATTAGTATTAAGGACACAGCTCATTCCCATTAGAAATGTACTAATTAAATAATACATTCATAAGGTTAGAAGCTTAATACATTTCTAAGGGGGAGCGGACTCCCCAAGGCCTAAAAACAAACATAAAAAATGAAGGAGTCTGAATTACCCATGTCTTAAGACCAATTTCAAATACAGACATTTTCATGCTGGGCTAACCGGCATTCCGACAGGTTGCAGGGCCACTCTGACTGGGGTCATCACTGCGATCGTTTCCAGTTTTCTCACTGTTGGCGACACGCACCCAGAGCCTCCCGTCCCCAGACCCTACCTTGTGGAGTCTAACGAGGGCTTCGTCCGGCCCTGGCTGCTCTCCTCCCAGACGCTGTTAGCCAGCTCGTTCCCGATGGCCGACATCACCCTGATGAGCTCCACGGGCCAGTCGTCCAGGTCCAGGGACCGGACTCGGGAGAGGTGGGTGCCGAGGTTCCGGTGGATCCCTGAGCACTCGATGCACATGAGGGCTCCCAAGTTCAGGCTGGCCCAGTTGGGGTCTGCGGGAAGAGGACAGGGTGCTGACTGTAACAGACCGCATCGCTCCGCAGACCACCCTCAGTCCCAGGCACGAGACGACAACGGGCTTGGGCCCACCGTGGACCGGCCCACACGACCCACCACGGCAGGTGTGGGCCGGGAGAGAAGAGCACATTCCCACGCTCCCACAGCAGTGCTCCCGGGACGGGGCCGACGGGCGTGGGGAAGTCACGTGGCCCGGCACCCACCCGGACAGAGGTGACAGGGAACCCGAAGGGGTCATCCCCAAGCCGCAGTGTCCCTGTAACCACCTCTACTGTCACCAGCGCACCAGGCATGTCTGTGAACCTCATGGAGAAAGTGAGGCAGACTGTGGTGACCATGTCACAGTTCTCAGTGGCCTACGGTTGATGAAGCCGGCAGCTGCCAAGCTCCGTTCCTCACGCGGCCGGTGGTGGGCAGGGCCCCTGGTTAGGCTCCTCTAACCCTGACTCGCGGCAGGAGTGGTGACGGACTTTGGGCTGTGATTCAGGACCAAGGACATGACCGTGGAGACCCCTAGCTGGACCACTCACTGAGACCACGGCAGACATTGCCAGACCACCGAGGACTCAGACCCAGGGCCGATGGCATGCTACAATCCACAGTGACGTGTGGGTGCTGGCCCTGAGAGCTAACGGCCTCCGCCCACGACGGGAGAAACAGGGCTTAGCTGCTG